CTGCCAGCCTTACCAAGCCCAGCTCAGCCAGGTGATACCCAGAGCTTTAGGCTTCGGCCTGTGCGACCGGGCAGTCCCAGGGCCCAGGAGGTCAGTTCCCGCCTCTACCTGGGATTGAGTAGGGTGGTGTTGTAGTCACTGTAGAGGTTGCGGATGGGGACGTCGGAGCCGTTCACTGTGCACTGGCTGTAGGGCTTGCCCTTTCGCTCCAGCTTGTCCTGAGTCAGAGAGGTTGTTCGTGGGGACCCTGGTCAGCCCAGGAGGCCCCTGCACCTGCCTGCCACTCAGCAGGTGGCTCTCAGGCTCTGCAAGGGCTTGGAGAGCAGTGGCCCAGCAGCTGCCGGCAGTGCTGTCTTCCCCAGAGCGCGGCTGCCCTGGGGCCGAGCTGAGGGCAAGCAGGGGGGACCGCGAGGGAAGGCCGGGCTGGAAGAGGCCCCGGGAGCGGGGGCTAGGCGGGCGGGCTGCCACCCTCACCCCTCAGGCGCCCCTGGGGCCGCGGCCGTACCACCAGCACCCCGATGGATGTCTCCGTCCCCGACATGGCGTAGATGCCCTCCTCTTTGACGAAGGGGTACGACCGCTGCTCGTGGAGCAGCAGCCGGGCGCCGGCCGTGGACGTGAGGAAGGGCACATAGTCCTCCTGGCCCAGGTCCAGGATCAGCTTCAGGCCTGTGGGGGGAGGGGCCGAGGCTGCTGCAGGGAGCCTGCCACCAACATGTCCATGCCCCCAGCAAGGGGGCCTCCCCGGCCTGCCCAGGAGGCCGGCTCCGCTTTGTGAAAGTCCAGCCTCCTGTCTTCTCTAGGCCCATCCTAGTCCCCGCCGCCGCCGTTCTCTCCTCCTGGGCTCCTCTTGCTCCCCCACCCACATGGCAGGCCGACCGAGGGCACCGCGGCTCCACCTCGCCTCACAGCCCGGCTCAGCCCCGTGCTCCTTCCTGGTGCCGGGCCCTCGGAATGCTGTGTCTCTCCCCCACCCCCCCAGCCCCCCCACCCCCGCCACCTAGAAGACCCGCTCTCCCTGCAGGTCTCAGCCCAGGTC